TAGTGTCATTTTTATTCTAGGCAATTCTATTAATAAGCTATTCAGCTATTTTTTGACTTTTGTTTCATCTAACCTTGTAAATTAACATTTTTGTTCCAATTATCCACACTGCGTTATGTGTGATTCTGTTAGTTCCATCACAAATGAGGTAATTTTTCACAATAACTTCGCATATCACTGATTGCGACAATTTGGTATCATTGGATTTCTCTTAGCCTCTAGTATATATACCATATATGTAGGGATTATGATGCAAAACCCTCATTCCTGGCCTTAATAGCAGGGGAGGGCATGAAAGGTACTAGGGTAAGCTAAGAAATGCTACAATATAACAAACAATAATAATGTGTAATGAAAATGATACCTCAGTATCCTGGCTGAAAGCTGGAAAAATTACAACTCCTGTGGCAGCCTCCCTGAGGAAGGCTGCAGATGGCACAGCCCTGCATTAGATAATTATAGTGACTAATTTTGTGTATACTATTCATCATATTTACCTGGTGCAGTCTGGGACTAAAGTCCTCAGAAAGGTTTTACATGTTTGAAGCAATGTAATGAATCCCTACAACCCACCCTGGCCTCTTCTTCCTCCATTCAGGATCAGCCCCTTTACTACACAGCGATTGCAGCGCCATCTCTGGACAATAAACAAACACACAAACCTTTCCGAGGACTTTAGTCTCAGACTACCTTTCATGCCCTCCACAGCTATTGGGACCAAGATTGTTGCTTTTGGGAAGTGTCTGTGGCATACTTTCTATATATTTGGATAGAGAGTGAGAGGAATCCATTTATACCAAAATTGTGATTAGTTGTGCAAGGTATTCTGAAAAATTCTGAGAAACAAAATAAATATATTGCGACAATAGCTGTGCAGAGACTAAGTTAGAAAGAAAAGATTTTTGGTTCTTATGCATTTATTTTTGGATTCCCAGGAGTGCCCCCAAGGTTAGCTGAAGTAATAGGGGCATAGCCTCAGAGGGGTGTGGTACCTTTATAAACAGTTAACATTACTTTTACTTATTTCCCTATAAGGTCTGCACTAACATTGGGGAAAATCTAGTGACGCTGACATAAAGAGAGAAAATAACTACACTCACTGATACTGGAAATAATCTGTATAGGCATAGAATAAAACCTAATGGCTGTGGACTGGTCTGTGCGTGGCTGTGTATTTTTGTATTTTCCCTACATTTTTTGCTTGTGCCATTTTATATGTTTGCTATTAGTAAGTAGTTATATCTCTTGGAACAGTGCTGTTAGATTTTCCCCATGTTATTGCAGTCATTATATGAGTGTATTCCAAAGTACCACATACATTTTTCTCACCTTGTTATTATTCATTTGCAAAGGAAATATCAAGTGTTTTTAAATATTTTTGTTCTGTCTCTTACCTGCAAATTTTACCATGTACCATATGGTTGAATGAAACTAAAACTATACCTATTATTGTATATCAGTAGGTTTAGAAAGTACTTTTGCATGAATTAAATTGGATTTACCTAATATATGATTCAAAAAATGGTTATAGAACAAAAGAAAGATATGTATTAATCTAGAATAGATCCTCATTGTAAAATCATAAAATTTGCTATCAGTTAATTTTTATGATGTCTTGTGTGCTTTTTTAGCAGATTTAGTTGGTTCTCAGCATTCTAGACTCAATAGATGGGGACAGTATTGAGGCAACCCAGGGAATTTGTAAAGTAAAATCCTCAGATTTTCAATATGATCAGAGTTAATTTATGTGGTGGTATGTGTATTTTGTTCTTGTCAGAGGGCACAATCCCTTCATATGGGGTGTTTTGCTTCTAACCCCCGCCATGAATGTAAAGTCTCCATCACATTTAACTGGTTCGCTAGAGACTTGACAGATGTAAATTATACTCCAGTGATGTAAGTAATCTAACAACTCAGATGAGATTGTGCCATTTCAAGGTAAACATCTCTAGGTGCTTGCCCACTCCCAGTTTCTTGTATAAATTAGGAGAGTTTTCTGCCAGATATATTCTGCATTTTTATCAGTTTTTCTGACTAGTATAACGGTATTTAAGTACTGGACATGAGTTGCTTGATAATTTAATTCATTTTAACATGTGGTTATATTCTAGAAGTTCACGTATAAGATTAAAATCCATTTACTAGAAATCATGGTACTATGTACTGTTAATTTTTTTTTATGATTATTTATTATTATTATTTTTTTTTTTTTGGGGGGGGGGTTCATTTGTCTACTATTGGTAAATATTTACAACACCTTTATGGATCTGACCTCTGTTCCCTTATGCTAAGGCAGAGTATCTCCAACATTCATATTCATTGAAATTCAATGGTTTAATCAAGGCCAATGTTAGTTTTTACTATTGACCTTTTGTTAGTAACCCTTCCCCTTTTAATCTTGACAGTATGGATGCACTAAGCTAGGCCAAATTGCAGATAATATTCTCGTAGAAGACAAAATGTTGAAGATTTGGGCACAATAAATAATCTGCAGACATGAATGATATTGCCACAGATTTAGGGAAGAGATAGCGGAAAGTGCCGCTCACAGCGCAAGTCCACTTGGCGCTGATGAGTTTCAGCTCTATCTTGCCATACTTACTGAAGTGAAGACAATATTTACTAGGGGGCTTAGGGCAGTCGGGCATGCCCAGCCACGACAACTTATTGTTTGGAAAATAAATGTGTCATGGAGTCAGGAACTTCAACAAACATATTTATGGTTGAAGGGTATAAATCAAGTAAAATACTGTTGAATTGTGTCTTATTTAAGATTAAGATGTAAGATATATAGTAGTCTAGTAATGTATTCACTTGCATGGCATATAGTGTGCATATAGCTTGAACTGCATCTTTATTTGACTATAAACCCCCAGGGTGCATTACCAATGTAAATATTGTAACAGTGAATGCTTGTTTCCTTAATCTGTCTAGAACAAATACAGCAAACCCACATTTTCATGGTATGAGAACTGACTTCAAACTGCTAGAAAAGTAAAACTTTGTGAAGCCTAAAACAACATTTGATGTGAAACTATCCTTGTATATGATTGCCCTGTAAATTCAAGAATGGTTTTCATTGATTATTGTGTATAGAAATGTATTTTTTCTTTTGATATATGACTTTTTCAAACATGTACACATTAGGTAAAAGAAATACATCTTTTTATTGATTGATGTGAAGGATGAAAGTTGAATTTGCTGCTGTGAGTATTATGTTATAACTTCTTTATTTTGAGTTTACATGATGTAGAATAATACCTCCAAGATTGTAGATCATCCACCACAGACCACAGCAAGTGTCAAATGGATTTGGATATGACATAAATACAAGACATAGTACTGTTTTGAAAGCCTTTGTGGGTGATTTGTTAACAGTTATCATTTGATTTCACAAACAGCGGGTGTTTGCTTCATGTACTATTATATGTGGTGTTTGATAGTATGTTGAATGCTCATTGCTCAGCACTTGTTTCCTGTTATTCATCCTTGTTATTGTTTTGTTGATGTTGGCATCTTGTCTTTCTGTCCTGTTGCCAGGGACTGCTTATTTTCTCTGTTGCTTTAACTCTTTTTTTAACATTTTATTATTATATTTTGAGACTAAAGCATATATGAAAATGTTGAAAATCAGTTCATATATTTTTTTAAAAAGCAGAGTATTAATAAAGACTGATATATTTTACTTTACCCTACTCAAAGCAACAGGAAAACATTCTTAGACAATGCCATTATTATTTTCAAAGCTTATATTGATTCATTTACTGATGAATTAGAATTTCTAACTGTGAAGCTGATAGCAATTATCATGATACATGTAAATAACAAGTATAATAATTGCTCGTTTCTTGATTTACATGCATGTGCAGTTGAAGGTTGGTAGCACTATTAAAATTTAAAGTTAAAAGATAACAAGTATATTGTGGCTAGATAGAGCTTGAACTGGTTCCTTAGTTGACAATGAATTTCTAAGTTCTGCAAGCTATTTCATTCCAGATTGTATCTGGCAAAGGTTTATTGGTGTTGTCCAAAGTGGTGATTGATTGACACTGCAACACTGTCAGGTGGGAGTTCAGATTGTAGGTCTTCGATCACAGATCACAGCAAATTTCAATTGAATTTAAATGGAACCTTGCTCGAGTCATTTTGAAAATTGCTGTGGATTTCTTATAAAGTTTTATCAAAGACATATTGAAAAAAAGCTGTACATCTGATCATAGTTTTGATTGTGTCAGTATATTTTATATTTTCTTTTTTTCAGGCTCTTTTTTTGCGTCCTGCTCAGTTTGAGGATGAGTGAAGTCCACCAATATATCCTGGTAACCAAAAACAACTTGACGTCTGACCAGCGAAAGTTGTATGACTTGGTTCAAGCAGCTGGCATTGTGATGCACCCAACACTTTTCAAGTGAGTGGAGAAGTCTCATGGTAATTCTGCATTTAAAAAAGAATTACATACCATTTCTTTATTTGTCATGCCTATTTTTCTATATAGATATTAATAACTTTCAAATCACAATGTTGATAAGGCATATTTGTAACATCCTACATATGACCTCTTCCTCCATAACCACAAAGGAGCATCATGGACCTACTCAATGAGAAAGTTCCTCCACATGCTCTCCTAAATGTACTGAAGGAGCAGAGTGGAAGGATTCTCAATAGGAGCAACATCAGCAACGATAACTTCCTTCCAGAAGAATTCATAAATGGAAACATGAGATAGACAAACTTCTGATCTTCAGGGATGATTTCTGGTTATTGTGGAGTTTGTAAATGATCTTAATAGTTACCAAAAGGTTGAAAGCTTTAGTTTAATTTAGTTTTTTTTTTGTTTCTCCTTTCTCTTTTTTCCTCTCCTCTTCTCTCTTCTTCCCTGTCCTGTCCTCTTCTCTACTCTCTGCTCCCTTCCTCTTCTCAATCCATATTCTCCTCTTCTTTTCTCCTCTCCTCTCTTCTCTTCTCTTCTCTCCTACTGCTTGTTTCAGAGAACTGAAATGGTTTCAGTCTCAATTAATGGTTCAAATATTGAATCTCAGATATAGTTTGATGTACCATTGAAAAAAAAAAAGAATAATCATCATTTAAAATTGTTCTTTCTTAGATAAAGAAATTGTCAGTTACCCTCTGATATAAGAGAAAGCCTTTGGTTGAATTTTTAAAAGGCAGGTCAGTGTATTGCCAGGGAAATGTGAAAATATTTGTTTAGCTCCTGGAGCAAATGGTAAGAATTTCTAGATGAAAGACTAATGAGCATCTTGATGATAAGAATTAACACAGCTTTTGTTATAGAGTAGTAGAATGTGAGTAGTTTTTTGTACTGTCCATAAAATATACGGTCTTTAAAACAATTTTTTATCATTCACAAGCAAGTGCCAACAATATTAACACAGTATATCAGTACAAAGGTATTGAAGTGTAGATAATGTACCAAATACTATTTTTGAGAAGTGAGTATAAGATTTTTTAAAGATTAGATTTTAATAATAGTTCCTGCTAATAAAAAAGTACACAGGTATGTTGGCTAAATCTGAGGATAAAAGGGATTTACATTACCAAAAGTGTGTTTTAGGAATATTGATAATGGAGAATGTTGATATAGGTACTCATTTGTTTCAGAGCTTTATCATTTTTTATCTGATTGAATTGACTGCAAATAGCATAATTGTGAAATAAAAGTAGATTGAGTGTTTTATAATTAGTCATATATATATATATATATATATATATATATATATATATATATATATATATATATATATATATATATATATATATATATATATATATATATATATATATATATATATATATACACATATTTTTTTTTATAATTACACTATTTTTTTTTATTGCAAAGCAATCAAATGATACATATAGAAGCTGATATTTTCCTCAACAGAGAAGTACACAAAATGAAAGCTTTAAAATTATTGTCATTATTTCATATAAAAGGATACCTGCATAATAAAGAATATTTATTAATTGATTGGTTTTGCTTTTTCTTTTCCTTATTCACTGAGATGTATCTGCATTTTGTTTAAAGAAATATTTGATGATTACATTCTTTTATACTCATGAATAAAGAAAAGTCTTTTTACACAAGATCACCACAGAGGATATGGATTATTCACATAAGAAAGAAAAGGTAGAGAGATCATTTGACATTTTCCAAGTCATGTGCTTACTATTTGACCTTGTTTTAGTTAAGTTTGATTGCCAGTCCCATTTTATTGTGCCTAAATATATTCCTTGCTATTATTACATAATACTTGTCAAACAATTTTGATCTAATAAATAGTTTTGACAAACATTTCCCCCCAGTCTCATACCCGTTGTCATTGTGGGGGTGGGGGTCTTAGGAGACGAGGCCCCTCCAATCCCTTGCCCGTTGTTGTCGTGGGGAGGCTTAAAGACGAGGACTGAGACCCAGTGCAGTGATCTCCTCTGCCTAGGGCCTCAGCCCTCGACTCAACTAATTTTGCATGGTCTTTTTCCTCTCCAGCTTTTTGTTTCTGTCCCTTCTTCAACCCCTTCTACTATCTACTTCCTAAGATGTAAGAAACATGCTGAAAGGATGAAAGGCTGACCTTGTGCCAGTCCTGAACGGCCTGCGGGATTTATGGGCACGGTATTCCCAATTTAATTGTCTAGCCCTTACCTTCAAGCGAAAAGAGGTGGATCGTTTATACCACTTTATATAATCAAGGTTCCCCATGAGCAGTAATGAAGATGTAATCCCCTTATTAGGGGCAATGAGGCTTGCCCCTTTATCAAATAGCCCCACCCCAGGCTCCCTTTGACCACGACTCCGAACACTGAAACTACTACCCACTCCTCAATGCCTACTAGTGCATTGCCCACCCAAGCAGAGACTTAATCTCCAGAAGACATTCCTACCCTCCCAACTTCCTCAAATGCATCAACTCTATCCCCACAACCTTCATCAAGCACCCCATCCTCCCTTATTACTACCTTACAGCCTTATTCTCCATCACTCCACAATACTCCCTCTTCCACACGTCCCCGACCATCCACCATCACCAACCCTACAGATCTCTTAAATACTCTGTTTAGCCCAGCTAAATGGGACCGATTTTTCGTGATCCCTTCTACACTCCTTGCTCAGGCAACACTCTTCTCTTTCAACAATGCCTCCAAAAACAAGTGGACAGAGTCCCTTTCTATACTAGACGCGATCGCTCCCGTCTTGTAAGTCAGATCAGAAACTGAATCTATAGCACTATCAAATTTAACTGATCATTCTGGCAACCCCATTCCTTGTACCGGAACTGTCTCTCTCTCCCCAGCAAACTGCCCAGTCGATACCAAAGATTGGTCAGAATGTGGAGAAGACTTATTAGGATGCCTCAAAGACCAAGATGTGAAATCAGTACATTGCTACACCATTCCTCCTAGAGGTCAACGAAAGAATCCGACCAACATTGCCAAAATTACTTTCCGTACACATGACCTTCCCTTACGTATCTACATTGGTGACAATCCTCCCTGTTCGACCATACCAACCCCTCCCCGTCAATGTTAAAACTGTTGGCGCTTTGGAAATCCTGCCAAACACTGCCGTTCCACATACCGATGCCCTATATGTGCCCAACCTGGTCATAACCGATCAAATTGCTAAGCACAAACACATGCGTGTGCTAACTGCGGCGGACCCCATAATGTATTTTATTTGAGGCTGTCCCACTTACAAGTTTGAATCTGAGGAGACAACTCTCAGATGCAAAAAAGGTCTCACTTTACGTGAAGCCAGACAGAAAGCACTTCGACAAGGTTTCTTTCATACTCTATACTCTAATAACATCGTTCGCTCAGCCCTTCACCCTCCACCTCAAGATGTCCCCATTTCCGCTCTACATTCTACCTCCTTCAGACCAATTCTTTGCCACTCTAAATCCAGACACCCCAACCTCAACCACAGCTCCAATCTCAACTACAGCCCCAACCACTTCTACATTCTACCTCCCGCAGACCAATTATTTTGCCATTAAATCCAGACACCCAATCTCAACTACAGCCCCAACACCATCCCCTCTCCCTCTCCGCACTACCCGCAGTAGACAGACTAAACGTTCTAACCCTTCTTCCCCTACTGCACAATCACCTCCACCTACCTTTACCTTTATTCCTGAGACACCAGTCTCCTCTTCCCCCCTCATAAGAAAACCTTTGTCCCACAAAACTCTCCAACCAATTCCACTGCAGAAACAATTACCTTTATTCTTGAGACACCAGTCTCCTCCCCCCCCCCTCATAAGAAAACCTTTGTCCCACAAAACTATCCAATCAACTCCACTGCAGAAACTATGGATGGCATTCAAAGCTATTTGCTTGAGACAAGATCCCAAAACTCATGCTCCTTCTACACTTGAAGTGATTGCCGATATTCATTCCCCTCCTACTCATATTCCCCCTACACCCCTTCCTCCTACTCCGTCTTAACACAACCTAACACCCTAAATTCCGTCCACCACTGATATCCATCCTCCTAATATCCATCCCCCTCTTACTCATAGCACCCCTACACCCCCTTCCTCCTAAAGACAACACATCCCCTTCAACTCCAACTATCCATCCTTCCGATATCCACCCTCCTACCACTAATACTCCCCCCACACCACTTCCTCCCAACACAACCCACCCTCTTCAACCCCAACTATACGCACTTTCTCCCTCCCTACATCCCCTCTATCCTTTCCACTCCCTCCCGGATACACACGGGAATCACTCATGTCACAACAGTGCCCTTCCCCAGATTCCCTACCTCCTGATACCCCTCCTTTACACCCCCTAGCTCCTCCCCCCCCCCAGATTCCCCAATAGGTACCGACACTTTCACTCATAAAATGACTAAGATATAACTCTCCTACATTGGAATATTCGCAGCTTCCGTTCTCACAGACCAGACCTACGTCATATCCTTGCTTCTTATAATCCGTCTATTATCTGCCTCCAAGAGACTTTCCTCACTCATCTTATTCCAATTCCCAATTACCATTTTATCTATTCCCCACACTCCGTTTATGTCTCGTCTATACTTATCCATCATAAAAACACCTTAATATCCTCCACTTGATCTAGCTTCCTTACCTAAACCACCATAACCCTTTCCCTCATCAACTTTTACCCAACTTCAACCTTTCAACATTACTCTTAAGATAGTTGACGCATAGCAACTATCCCCTGACATCCCCCTTTACTAAACCTTCCTATAGTGCTATATGACCTTAGATGTCTAGCACATTTATTTTGCTTTTAACCATTAACCATTAGGAGAGACGAGAACTGGGGCCCGGTACTGGAGATCTCCCCTATCTCGGGTCTCAGCCCTCAACTCAACTAATTTTTCACGGTCTTTCCCCTCCTGCTGTGAAAAGGGAGTCGAGTGTATCCATAAGGAGTGGAAGGGATAATAGGGAAAGAAGGGGGGGGGAGTATGTAGATTAAGCAGAGGGGGATGGGATGTGTTGGGAGAGAGGACAGGCAATATGGGGAACATGAATAGGAGAATGTCGGCAGTCACTTTGAGTATAGAGGGAACGGGGATAGATAGACTGGAGGATGGATGAAGTATAGCATGTTATATTGGGTCACAATTACATGGTTTTGAATGTCATGAAGAGTTTCTGAGGTGGAATTGGTTGGGAAGTCTGAGAAACAGGTTTTCTTATGGGGTGGGGGGGGGGGCAGACGATTAAGGGGCAGAGGAAGAGGTAGATATAGGAGAGGATGCAGTTGAAGCTGGTGTAGAACATTAAGATTATCGGATGCTATGCGTAAAGCGAGAA